GACATACCACACAGTTGCACAATTAACTTCCCGAACTTCGAGGGCCAGTATGTCACAGGGTTAGCTGCTGTAATTCCTTGCGGTCTTGCTACAGCACGAAAATTGCAAAAACGCATAATCGCACCGGCCCACCTGGTGCGTTCCAGCCTGGGTTTTCTTTACGCTTCCGCAGACTACCGGTGTGGAGCACTCAGCAAAAACAAGGAAAAATTGTTTTGTAGCTTAAAGCAGTGTAGCATTTTTTTATAAAAGCAGTTGTTGAGCTCGGAAAATTCAAAACTTATTTTAGGTACCAATCAATTGTATGGCAGCGGCGGTGTATGGCAATTGCGACTCTTTTGGCTTATGTTCGTTCTTGATCTTTTAACACTTTGTTTTGCAGGATGTTTTGCTAGTGATAGCTCTGGAAGTTTGAAACAGGAATAAAATTTGCTCAACAGCGGGCTGCAGGAATAAGCTAATACTTGTAGACAGCCAGTTGTGTGGAAATAACTTTTGGTTCTCAAGTCGTTTCTTTTTCCATTTACAAATTGCGAGTGCTACAAACACACCTCGATTTGAAATTACTTGCACCGGAAAAAGGAATTCCCCTGCATCCACGATACTGAGCTTCCCACAGTGCATTTGCTTACTTCTGACAGGTAGAAAATCAGTTTTTTTTTTTTTTCCGCAGTGCATTTGCAAAGTACAGAAAAGTGGATGAGGACGTGCAAAGGGATCGATCTATTGCTGTACTGGAATAAATTATGCTTACTCGCACAGGGTCGGGGACAAATTCTTGTGTAGTCGGAAAGCAGCGAGGGCGGGTCTTGTTCGGTAACATTTCGTCTAAAGTTTGAAGCTCTTGACCAGACAGGGCATCTTCGACGGACACTTACTGAGCTGTAGTTTTAAAAACGGATAAAATGGAAGGAGTGCTGCCCAGCATTGATTTCCCAATTAAATTTAAAATGGAGGATGGAGAAAATCATTAGGTACAGCTGCTGCTGTTTTACAGCTCAATAAAAGTGGCCCACCGAATCCGAAAATAAGAGAGAGAACGAGGAATTTCCCGCTCAGCAATAATATCATATATCATTTGCTAGGCAGTGTAAAGATGATTTGAGTCAAGAGGTAGCGCATATCCAAGTTCAAGACTCCAATTCCTTGTCAATTATAATAGTGCCGCTTCCAGCTGTAATGGAGAAAGCATTTTATTTGCCAGTGAAAATTCAGTACGCATTTCACTGCTGTACCAAGGGGCTTCTCTTTTGCAGTAGAAATTCTGAACAGTCCATGCGAGAATGATAGAAACTTTGGATCGACGAACAAAAATATTCAGGCAATTTTTTTGTCGGGAAGAAAGAGAAAGATGCAAAAATTTCACTAAAGGGGAGCAAAACCTAGCTAAGACGCTTGGAAATTTGGCCACTGAAGCGAAAATTCTGCTAATGGATACAAAATTAACTTGAAAATGCAAAGTTTGAGTTATAATGAAAAGCGGCTTGCATCGGAATGGCGTTGTGATCATATGCTTTTGCAATTATTTGTTTTGGATTAATAAAGGTTGAAAGTGAGAACACATTTCGGGTTAGTTTTACCTCGTCGTAGTGTCTTTTTGTTCTTTTAATCGCATGAAAGTGCAAAAACTGATAGCTTGATTGATTGTAAAGTTAGGATAGTAGCCGGTATTCGAACTTAAGATCAGAGCAGCGGCACAGGAATCACATACATCAAGCTTTAAGTTATTCATTCCGCAGCTGAATCAAGAAATTTTGAGATGTTAGCCTGCCATACTTTGAAAAAATGCACTTAACTTTGTAGTTGACTTAATGTCAAGTGTCGTAAAGCAACGGACTTTGAAGACAACCATTCATTTTGCTTCCCGAACGAAAGTAAATTCTAAAAAATTCGTATTTCTGGCTCGCTCGGCCCTGAAATTTAGTTTGAAACTGAAAATGGAGTTGAAGATTAGGATGTAGTGAAGCATGAGACCGAAATCGTCAAGGTCCAACGACCTAGGTTGTCTGGACTTTCTTACGAATGCCACTCACTAATTTGCAACACCCACCATTTGTCGCAAGGCGAGTAAAGTGCCAGCGTATGGCATTTCACCTTCTCGCGTGGTCACAATGATATTTTGCATTAAGGCTTATCTGACGTAGTGTCTGACCGTTTTATACAACCGTAAAGAGAACATCTGTCGCTCCTTACGAACAGTGCTTGCTGTTCAACTTTCACAAATGACCACTTTTGCATCCACAAGTCACTGCCTTAAGCGCAATGAATTTGAAGAGAACGGTCCTTCTGGTCTGTCACTTCGCAAATATCGACACTCCTGTAAAATTGATGTCAACCGTCTTTCATGCGTTTTTGGAGCAGCTGCAAGAAAGAAGCTGTATGTAGATATAGTGTTTTCTTCTTTGCAGCGGTACTGCAAAAACGCAAAAAAGCTGGTTGCGTTTGAGACGCTAAAAAAGCTAACATTCAGCAAATAAAGCACAAGCACTAGAAGGCATCATCTTATTAGAAAGCGTAAAAAGCGTGGTAGGACTTTATTTGTCGAATGCTGGCATATCCTTGAATTTTTATAATCATTTACATATAATGCAATTTTAATTGTATTTTTAAAAAACATATTTTGCAGCTAGCAATTGCGGTATTTGTGATTGCGTTGCTCACTCCAAACTGGACAATAATCGATTTTACGAATACGGACTTGGAAGAAATTCATGTTCAGTTAGGCGTATGGGGTGAATGGAGGACGAAAACGAATGGCACTAAACAGACTGGTATGTTGGCTTTCGCAGAATAATGTATTTTTATTGAGGAAAGAGAGAAGCTTGTCTTCCCGTTGCATTCACGAGAGGCCAATTCATCTGCCTAAAAAAAAGTGCAAAAAACCGGCGCCTAGGAGCTTAATGTTTAATCAGGGAAGAGCAAAAGTCAGCGAAAGGAGCAAGCATCATTTTAGTCATGTGGCACATTCGGCTAGAAAGCGCTGTTTTGATACGAAAATGCTATTTCAGTAACAAAAAAGCACGTGAGGACTAATACAGATAGGCATTTTTGCGATAAGCTGCTGCGGTCCCCGGTGAGTGAATGGAAAATTCATGCATGAGCTCGAAATGATGGTTTTGAAGTAAAGCGTGAAAACCTTTTGGTGGCTTCTTCAATACCGAACTTATGATTTAAGCTCACAACTGATAATATACTTTTAAATGAGGAAATAACGAGGTTTGAAAATTGATTTTGGACCTATGTGACGGGCTAGAATTTCAAATACTTCGAGTTTCCAGTTCGCTCCGTTCTGAATTAAAAAAGTTACTTCAAAAGTCTGCCTGGGGATGTAGGCCAGAATCTATTAAGTTTTGAAGCTCGTTTTCAAATTATCAATTAGAATTAGAAAGAAATAGTCGTATTACTAGAAAGGACAATGAAACTGCGAGTTTTTACAAGTTAATTAGAAAAAGGATTGTACAAGAGATAATTAATCGAAAATTCTGGAAAAAAAAGAAAGTTAACAGTTACGACTATGAGTCGGCAGTTATGACTAATTTTAGTGACAATTGTGACTATGAGCCTATAGTCGTACAAATTCCATGAAATCCTATAAATTCTTTTCGGACGTATGCTTTTTATCAAACCGCCATCGCACGGCCATTTAAGATGCTACAATTCCAATTTTTTGACTTCGTTTGTTTTCGTATTACGAAATTTTAGAGCAGATATTGCAGACCAGGATACAGAGACTTGAAAAACGATTTCAGGTTGCTGACCCTGTGCAAGTACAATGTTTCCGAAATTACAGTAGTTTGTGTAATTCTGGAATGGATCACTACGACCGACACGAATGCACACAAATATGTGTCTCATCTTAAATACATCTTACATAATAGATCTGCTACGCAAAATGCGTGAGAAACGCCAAACAAATGTAGGGACACCATTCTGACCATGATTCGCCAGCCTGAAATGTAATCATTTTGTGGTGAACGCGATAGATGACTGAAATTTATCAGCTTGCTTCGTGTAAAGTGCTTATAATTCTGCAATAGACGAGCGAAATGCACGGCAGGAAGCATTTGAACACTTTGCATCTATTTGTTATTTTTTTTACACAGGTTAATGAAATTGATGAATAAGGGAAAATTCATTTTAGTGGAATGGATACCGCATTTTCCAAGTTCTCCAGAAAACGTTCTTCGACTTGCTGACGCTGACCTGAAACGTTCGTTGCTTAATTTTCATTCTCTGCACGTTTAGCGATATCCAGTTCTAGTAGATAAATTGATTGAAAGCTAAAAATTCACAGGTTATGAAATTTTAAATACTATTCTAGCTATTATTTGTTTATTTCTTATTATGTCATATTGTTATTTACAGTTCTTTTCATACTTCTTTATTATTATTTACAATCATAACTTTTATTTTATTTATTCATTTTTTTTACTATTACTGCTGGTGTACCACTATTGTTTTAATATTTTTTTCATTGTTGCTATTATTATCGTTATTACTATTGTTAGTGTATTAGTATCATCATCATTATTATCAATATTTTTATCTCTTTTACTGTTATTATCGTTATCATTATCATTATTGTTATTATTATAACGATTAGCATTCTCAATGTCCTGTCATTATTAATGCTCCTATATTAATACTGTTCTATAATGCTATTACTATAACTGCTGTTGTGATCTCGCTCATTTTTATTATTATCACCATTTCACCTTTATTTTGATCCTTTTTAGTAATTAATTCCTTTACTTCCTATTTGTGTTTGTCTGATTACACCTATTCAGCCGAAGAGTTGTGGCAAATAAGTTTTTTTTTT